TACAATTGGACTCCAGTAAGGGGTGTGTGTGTGTGTTGGGGTGGGGTGGGGGGGTTAGATTCTATCCCTTGGCATGTTTCAGTATCAATTGTCTGAGAGGATGCTACCTAGAACAACAATTGGGTAGTCATGAATCTGGGTGAGGTACTCAAAATGGTAGAAACAAAGATTCTGCTCCCAGTTAATAGTAATAATTACTACAATTTTAATTAATGGATGTGACTAAAGAAGTATTACCAACAGAGTGGAGGGGACTGAGGGGGAGGGGAGGGGAGAGGACAAGGGGAAATACTAGGGATCAAAATCTACTAAACTATGCTATGTTTCTGTATGTAGACACCACAGTGAACCGTGTGTGTGTGTGTGTGTTTATAATGCACTAATTAAAATAATAAAAATTAAAATAATAATAGAAGGGAGATCAGTAAAGTTCATCAATCTAATCGGTGGGAGGAAGGAGGAGAGAGAAAGGGGAGGTACTGGGTAATGATATATATAATATATAACGTGCATGCACAAATATGACATAATGAATCCCACTATAATTTAATCATAATTCACAAAAAAAGATGACAATACTGATGAAGATGTTGAAGGGGAAATACCATTTTCTCCCATTTATGGAGAACATGAAAGAAAATAGGAGACAATAAAAGCTAATCATCTAAGAGATCCAACAGCTAAATAATAGGAGATTCAGAAATGGAGATCAGATACAAAGGTGTAAGGGACATTATTAGAGAATCATTTAAGAAAAATTCCCAGAAAAGGACACACATACTTACCTCCAGAGAGCCCCCTATGTGCCAGTCATGATAAATGGGGACAATAACATGAACACAACTTTTAGAACTCTAAAAATAAACCCAAGTCAGCCCAGTATCACAAGCCTCTAATTTCAGCTATTCCAGAGGCTGAGGGACAAATTTGAGGCCACTCTGGGCAACTTAGTTGAGACCCTGTCTCAAAATAATAAATAAAAGGAATTGGGGTTATAGCTCAGTAGTAAAGGATCCCTGGATTTAATCCCCAGTACCACAATCATTCAATCATTTCCTAAAAGCTTCCTGAAAGAAAAATTAGTCCACCCATAAAAGAATGTTAAATTAAGAATCCACATTCTCCTTAATATCTCTGGTTGCTACAATATAATAAAGTGGTCCTTGCAGTTCTAGGAGAAATTGAATTTGAAACAAATTTGCATATCCAACCCACTTAACAACCAAATGTGAGGGTAGAGTGCAGGCATCTCACACAAACCAGAACTTCGGAAAAAAACTTACTTCCTAGAATCCCTTTATGTTATTTGAATATGTGCTGCAACAGAATAAATTAATTCAAGAAAAAAGATAGCAAAGAGCCGGTCATAGTGGAGCACACCTGTAATCCCAGCAGCTCAGGAGGCTGAGGCAGGAGGATCACAAGTTCAAAGCCAGCCTCAGCAAAAGTAAGGCACTAAGCAACTCAGTGAGACCTTGTCTCTAAATAAAATACAAAATAGGGCTGGTGATGTTACTCAGTAGTTGAGTGTCCCTGAGTTCAATCCTCGGTACCCCCTCCCCACAAAAAAGCAGCAAGGGAGCTTCCTAAATCAGGAAAGGAGTATAATAAAATCATCCTTGTAGGAGTAGGAGGATAAAGAGCTCCAAAGAGAAAATCTCTGGGACAAAAGAGATCTCCATGCAGTCTGTAGTGTGATTAAGTGAACAACAACAGCAACAATGAAAACTTTTTAGCATAAGATAAAGCACATATTTAGTCAATACAAAGGGCATTTAACAGGTTTGGGGTATAGCTCGATGGTAGAGTGCTTGTATAGCATGTGGAAGGCCCTGGATTCAGTTTGAGCACTACCAAAAAAAAAAAAAAAAAACAATTAAGAATTCCAGGAAAAACAAAAAGCTAACTGAGGAGAATGTTTTGATCCAAATTTGAAAAAAAAAAAATACCATGTTATACGATTTTCAGTAATTTACAGATTATAAGAAAAAGATGAGTATGTGATGATATTATTTTTCTTTGCATAGATAAGGGGTATGATACTGCCCTCAGAGAAAAAGAAATTACATTTCTAACATACTACCTCACTGGGATGTGCACAGTATTGATGTAGTCTTAATAAGTTAAGTACTCTGGTTGGGTTTTTGTCTTTTTACTAGTCACCATGTTGTACATTAGATGTACAGAATTTATTCATCTTATAACTGAATGTTTTGTGCCTTTTGACCAACATCTGTTACAATCAACCTCAGATAAAAACAAAGCAGATCTTGGTTATTTTTTTTTTAAAGAGGCAAGTATTAATCTTCAGAATATAAAAATGGAGTACCTGACAAAAAGCAAGAAGTAAAAAGTTAAAAAATATATATATGCACACACGCACGCATACACACACACACACACACACAGAAGGGAGTTGAACATTGTGGCGAAAACCTCAGCTACATGGGAGGCTGAGTCAGGAGGATCACAAGTTAGAGGCCAGTCAGCAAGTTAAGTAGACCCTGTCTCACAATTAAAATTTAAAAAAAAAAAAAAGTTTATTTAAAGGGCTTGGAGTATAGCTAAATGTTAAAGCCCTTTCCTAGCATGAGCAGGTTAGAGGTCCTTGGTTCAATCCCAAGTACCACAAGAAAATATGCACAATGAAAAAGAAATAGTATCACTGATTCCTGCAACTTGTCTAATCAGAAGTCAAGACACTGATTCCAGCTCTGAAATGAGAAATTGAGTATGACCTGCTATTTAAATTTATAAGGATAACCAAAACAAAACTTGAAATTAATGATGTAACTGCTCAATACTGGGAGGAATAAGATAATATAAATAAGCTAAATTCTTATCTTTTATACCTAGAGGTCATTACACAACCAAGATATTAGAAAGAGGAATGACTTTCCAAACATCTTGTATATTCAAAGCATGCACAATCATGAACACTTCTTCATAGGCATCCCTGTGCGATTGTGGAGGTGTGATACCAGAACACCGGTGTAAACAGTCTCTGTAGCCTGAGAATACATTATGGGGCTGATGATCTTGCAGTCATCCCATTTTCCATGCTCAGTTAGAGCAATATATTTACAAACTTAGAGTTATGCCTACTTGAATGCTCTTTTAAATTTTCTCAGGATTATCTCTAATACTTCAGAGTACTCTATCCAAAATTAATGGTATGGTACATGGTCATGCATTATAAAAGTGTTTCATTATATCTAACTTCTGTTCCAAAAGAATATATTCTAAGGGTTGGGTTTTTGCTTCCACTGCATGAGAGTTTGGATGACCTTGTTATAGGATGAAAGCTATTTTCAAGATTATAACTGTAAAAATTAAAATCTCAACATAAAATTCACTTGAATCACTTCTAGATTTAAATTTCAGTAACATTTGAGTGACATCAAGTAAAACCCTGCTATATCTCCATAAGTGGGCTCCAAAAACTCCAAACTCCTAATGTGTGAGGCCAATTTAGTAAAAAGTTAATCAAATGACCAAGGTGATTCCGCTGTGTGAGTACGGGAGTCAATCACCAAATTTATCATGTTCAAAGTCTCGTTTTCAAGCAGCATGCTATTCCAAGTAGTTCTTTTTTTTTTTTTTTTTTTTTAGAGAGAGAGAGAATTTTAATATTTATTTTTTAATTATCGACGGACACAACATCTTTGTTTGTATGTGGTGCTGAGGATCGAACCCGGGCCGCACGCACGCTAGGCGAGCGCGCTACCTCTTGAGCCACATCCCCAGCCCCCAAGTAGTTTTAATGTACGTGATTTTTTGTTTTTGTTTGTTTCATTGTTATTGTTATTTTAAAATTCTAGGGATTGAACCCAGGGTCTCACACATGCTAGGCAAGTGCTCTATCACTGAGCTATATTCCCAGGCTCCCAGTTTTCTTTTGGTTATCAGCTGAAGTGACATGACACATAGCCACACAGATAGATGCAGCTGCCATTCACACTGCCTGCTAACTTCAAAATTATGCAATTCTTGATACTCTTGGCAGGAGTTAAACCATTTTAAATTTTGCACAAAATAGGAACTTTTTAAAATAGGCTAATTACTCTATTTCAAATATTCATTATTCTAATGTATCTAAAATATGAGCATATTTTAAAAGAGCAATATTTATTAAAAATTTTTGTTGGATGGGAAATTTCTTTACAACCAGAAGACCTAAGAGCAGAAATGTTTAAGAGAGTCTTCTTAGGAATCTGGGCATGGTGGCTCACACCTGTAATCCCAACTACTCTGGAGACTGAGGCAAGAGGATCCCACTTTAGAGACTATCTCAAATTAAAATTCTAAAAAGGACTGCGGAATGTAGCCCAGTGGTAGAATACTTATCTGGCATGTTTGAGATCCTGGCTTCAATTCCAGAGTTGAGATCAGAGGTAGAAATGAGTCATAACAAATTTCTCTGCCATTTCCTGTATAGCATTTAATTTATTACAAGTAATTTTATTACTGAACTACAATAAGCATTGTTTATCATATCATAGACGATATGCCTCTCTTACCATTTCTATTCTGGTCCATGCAACATTTGCAAAAAAAAAAAGGCAGATTTTAAGGTTCCAAACACAATCCTCTTGAACTTGATCCCTTTCGCTGGGGCCCAGGAACCTGAATTGGGACCACTGGTTTAAGTATGGATCTTGCCAAAGGCTAGTTTCTATAGTCTCTTCATCCATATTTCAGGATTAAGCTTCTCGTGTGACTGCCACACACTGTGTTGCCTTCTGTGGTATTTACCATATCCCTTCATCCCTCCTTAAAATTTCTTTATCATTAATATAAAAAAATGACTTAGGAAAATATTTGTTCTTGAGGAGCTAAGAGATAACAGGATAAGTAAATGCCTGCCTCCCTCTCTTTCCTCCTATCCCCCGACCCCATATGGTCCTACAGTTCTTTTCAAGATTACTTAAAGTATGCCACTTCTTAAACGTATAATAGCTAAGAAAACCTGTTGAATTTTAAAATTCTTAACAGTGACTGGTTTCTTCATTATACAGGGAGAAGCATTTTGAGAATGTCTTTGTATCTTGTTTTGGTGGGGATCATTTTTTCTCATTGCTGTGACTGCAGGAATATTGATCTCAGCGTTACTCTGACCATTAATGAAATATGATGGCAATAAGCAAAGACACGCACCTCTAGCCTCCTGGGAGCTTAATCTTCTGTTACAACGTTTGCATTTGTAAGTCAACACCTGTGTAATCTATATCCTAACTATTTGTTATTCTCCTTTAATTACATATCGGTAGTGATCCATTTGCAGGCTGAGAGCAACCAACTGAAGAGTCAAAGAGATTATTAAAATATTGACTTTAAATTAAAAGACCAAAAAGGAAACAAGACTGAGTTTATTCCTACCTGTTCCAGTACCCGTTCAGGGACAGTTATTCCCTTTCATATCAAGAAAAGTTTTCAAGAATTGTGCAAGAAGCCCCCATACACCCCTTACATTCATAATTATTTATATCTTGTCCAGTTTCTCTCTATAGGTATCCATAGTACAAGTTTATAATTTTTTTAAGGTATTGGGGATTGAACACAGGGGTGATTTTGCACTGAGCAACATCTCCAGCCCTTTTAATTTTTTTTTTTTTTTTTTTTAATTTTGGAGACAGAGTCTTGTTTAATTGCTGAGGCTGGCCTCTAACTTCCAATTCTCCTGTCTCAGCTTTCCATTAACTGGGATTGCAGGCATGTGCCACTATGTATAGTCCAAATTTAAGTTCAGATTTTCTCAAATGTCCCAATAATTAATTACTACTTTTCCTGCAGTTCAGGTTCTAATGCAGATGAATACATTATATTGAGTTGCCATGTCTCCTTTTATCTGCAAAAATTTCTCAATATATTTTTTTTATTTGACAGTTTTTAATGTCATTGGGCTATTTTTCTGTAGACCAGTGATTTTTTTTTCTTCCTCTTCTCTTTTTTTCAGAAGGTCCTTCATTCCAGGTTTGATTGAGGTTTAAACTTATGTATTTGGGGCATGCCTTCTAAACTTATTAGTTGATGTTTTACTGTAAGAAGAGCTTTCCCTTCTCTATCCATTTACTTATTTAAGAAAGAGTAATATTTATTTAAGAACTTATTGGGTTATAGCTATTTCTCTCACTTTTTCTCCCACATTTTTTAGTAGTGCATTACAATTACATATAATAATGGGATTCATTGTTCCATATTTGTACAGCATTACTCTCATTTTTAATTTTCCCTCAAATTTTCCCAGATTTGGCCAGTGGGTGGCCCCTCCAACCTGGCTTGTCTTTTTGATATGTTTTCAGGATTGTATGAAGCATCACCTTTGTGTACAACAGTATTTTCTCTGCTCCATCCCTGGAATTAGTCCTTTCTTCAGTGAGCTCCTGGTAAACTTTGTTAAGAAAATGAAGTTACTAAGGGTCTGGCTTAGTGGTGGAATGCTTGCTTAATTATGCACAAGTCCCTAGGTTCAATTCTGACACTTTGTGCATGTGTGTGCATGTGCACGCACACACACAAAGTGAAATTAACTTCTTTACCTGCACCTTTTTTCCTTTTCACCTTTTCATAATCTGTCTTGTGAGGCCCTAGTGTGATCACAATTTTTTGTGTCTCTAGTTAGTGAGGACATTCTTTTTTTTTAATATACCTTTATTTTATTTATTTATTTTTATATGGTGCTGAGGATCGAACCCAGGGCCTCACACAGTCCAGGTGAGTGTTCTAGCACTGAGTGCACAACCCCAGACCTAGTGAGGACATTCTGACACAGGTTGATTATCCCTTATCCAATTTGCTTGGCACTAGAAGTATTTCACATTTCAGATTGTTTTTATTTTAGGTTTTGGAATATTGGCATATACATAATGAGATATCTTGGGGATGAGACTCAAGTGTAAACATAAAATTCATTTATGTTTCATATGCACCTTATTATACACATAGCCTGAAGATATATATATTTTTTCTTTTTTCTGATACTGAAAAATGAACCCAGGAGTACTCTAACACTGGGCTACACCCCTGGTGCTGTTTGTTTGTTTGTTTATTTATTTGGAGATGGATCTCTTAAAATTGCTAGACTGGCCTTTAACTTGCCATCCTCCTGCCTTAGTTTCCCAGGTTGCTGGTATTACGAGTGTGTGTCACCATACTTGGTCTAATTTTTTTTTTCCAGTACTAGAGGTTGAACCCAGAACTTCATGCATGGTAGGCAGGCATTCTACCACTGAGCTATATCCCTAGCCCCTAGAAGACAATTTTGTACAATATTTTTAGTGTTCCTTTGTTTTGACTACAACTTGTCACATGAGGTGAGGTTTGGAATTTTCCACTGTGGCATCATGTGGCTACTCAAGAAGTTTTGGAGTTTAGAGCATTTTGGATTTCTGACTTTTGGATTAGGGATGCCCAATCTATATAATTATTTACCTTAAAACTGTTTCGGAATGATTGCATTACCTTTCTTAAAGACGTTTGCATTTTAAAAGAGGAAGCCAATTAGAAAACAATGCTCAACATATAAAAATTAATCCCACACTGTAAAGGACTTCATGCAAAGGAGACTTAGATCACAGAGTCAAATACCCCAGTCAAACATCTCCAGCCCCCTGCCTCAAGAGCCCTGGCAGTTTGCATAACTGAAGAAGAGCCATTGGTGTCAGACACCAGGGAGTGGTCCAGACTGGGCTAAACAGGAGGGTGCAGGCCCACTTCATACCTGGCATTCAAATAAAAAACAAAGTTGAACATCCAGCAGATCAAGCAGAACTTGTTTGTAATTTTTATTTACTAGAGGGTCTCCTGTTAATGACTTTTGTGTTAGTGTTTTATTTCAGAAAATATGAAACATACAAAAAAGCTGAAAGAATAGTGCCATGAACATATGTATTTTCCAAATTCACCAATTTGTTAACAATTTTGTTCTCTCTCTCTCTCTCTCTACACACACACACACACACACACACACACATGTTTTTCTGAACCATTTGAAAGTTACAGACATCATGCTTTATTCCAGATAATTTAACATACATTTTTAAAGAATCAGTACATTCTCATAGGTAGCCATAATATCATTATCACACCTATCTTAGGTGACTCAAAAATATTAGCAACAATCCCATAGAGCTATATGGCATCTCTTATATATTTAGATTTCCTCAATTATTATAAGAATGATTTGTACTTTCCCAGGGATTGAACCCAGGGCTTTGTACATGCTAAGCAAGTTCTCTACCACTGAGCTACATCCCCAGCCCCTGACATTGAGTTTTGAAGAATCCAGGTTAATTGTCCTATACATTATCCAATATTTTGTGTTTGTCTGATTGTTTCCCTATAGTATCATTTAACATGTTTCTGTCTTACCTGTTTTTACTGTATCCAAAGTAAAGTCTTTGATTAGATTAATGTTAGATATTTTTGGCAAAAATGCTTTATAGATGGAGTTGTACTATTATGAGTTTTTTACAAAGATCACTTGTTACTTGTGCATAAGAAATAAACTTGTATTTGTATTATATAGCACATTATTGAGATACAGTCGGGGGGGAAAAAAAACTAGCAACAGAAAAAGCATGAGTTTTGCCAGCAGATTTGAATGCCTGGTCTGTACTCACTAGCAGTGTGACCAAATAAATTAACCCCAGTAGATTAATTTCTCACAAAAGATCAGAGAAGACAGAGTCACCCCTGGGAACCTTCATGAAATGCACATGTGTGCCCCTCTACTCTATATCCTGGCACTTTTTTACAATTGGGACTTTTTCCTGGTACTTCTCATGCTGGTTCCCTCCCCCTGCACCCCAGAATTAAATGCTAACAATTCTCCAAGTGTCCTCATCCAAGAAACTTGGAAAATCTCTACCTTGGAGGGTTACGAGAATTGAAGATTAGTATATGTGTAAAGTACACATAATAAATGTGTAAAGTACATAGCAGGGAGTCTGTCATGTAATAACATGCTCAATATACCATCAGTGTTATTTTCAGTACCAAGATATTTGATTTAAAAGAAAAGATGGAACTTGAAATAGGACAAGGAAGTGGTATTGTATGAAGAGAAGACTATTCAGTTTCTAAGTTGGTTACTTCAAAAGCCTTCCAAGAGTGTTTGTGCTTATGCTGCAACCTCAATAAGTGTTCATCTGGGACAATGCTATGACACTATAATCATTTACACTTATGCAGCCCTTTACAGTTTACGAAGCACATTCACAATTCATCATCATGTTTGATATGCACCATCTTTCACAGAGATCAGATGTTCTTAATGCTAACCCAAGGACACAGAGTAATAGGTGGGGGAGCTCAAATTGGGAGTTCTGATGGGAGAACAGACTTCTTTTTGCTGAAAATGTGCAGCTTGGAACAGACACCAAATGTCTCCTCTCTAAATTCCTAACCTAGGGACACTTTCCTTATGGTGTAGGTTACTGAGAGGGTTAGTTAATGCTCTTTGAGTCTGTTTCAGTTACAGCCCCTCATCTGTCATGTTTTATCTGCTTTGGTGACGTTTCCTATTCTGTTGTGTGTTGTCAATCAGAAGGCTTTATTTAGTTTGTTCTTTTTCTTTTTGCTAACAGAAAAGGACTGGTTAATAATCCTGAATTAACACTGTCACATGCAGCTATAGTTTGGATCAGGAATTTCCTCAGAGACCCATGTGTTGAGGGCTTGGTCGTTAGCCTTTGTAACTATCAGGAGGTGAGGGAACTTTTATTAGGTGGGGCCTAGTGGAAGGAAGTTAGGTCTTTGGGGGGTGTGCCCTTGAAAGGTAAATGGGACCTGGCCCCTTCTTCTCTCTGCTTCTGGCTGCCATGAGGTTGACAGGCCTCCCTGTTACACCCTTCTGCCATGATGTGATACTACAGGCCCAAAGCAACAGGGCCAAGCAACCTTGGACTGAAACTTCTGAAACCCCAGGTTTCAAAATAAACCTTTCTTCCCTTCAGGTTGATTTAGCTCAGGTTTTTGTCATAGCAGTAGAAAGCTGACTAGCACACATGCATACTAAAAATGGATTTAGACCTCTTCATTGGATTAACTTCCTTGCTCAAATTGTGTAGCATTTAATTCAGCAAATTAATCAATCAGTGAGTGTGTCTGTGGTTGTGGCTTAGTGGTTGAGTGCTTACCTAGCACATGTGGGGCACTGGGCTCGATCCTGAGCACCACATAAAAATAAGTAAATAAAATAAAGGTATTGTGTTCATCTACAACTAAAAATATTATTTAAAAAAATCAGTGAAAGAATTGGTTTTTGAAGGGGTTAGGATTGAATCAAAGTTGACCTTGATAATTTTTGCCTGGTTATGTCCAGCTCTTTCTTTGAATAAGAAAATTACTGTTATTTTATATTAAAAAAAACTGATTATTTTGGTTTAGTGAACTATTAGTGTAGCACAAAACATCTTAAAGGGCCAAGTGTGGTGGTGCACACCTGTGATGCCAGCAACTCCGAATTTAATCCTTAGTACCACCAAAAAAACTAAAGAATTTACAGAGTATAACTTAGTCTTTATTACCCAGTTCTGGAAAATTTCCAAATTCTTCTATTATTTATCCTTTGTACATATGATATTTAGAACTGTATTGCTTACCTTCCAAATAGTTTTGAATTCTAGTTATCATTTTTGCTAATGGTATCTATACGTCTATTAATCATGATATGTTAGCATAACTCTATGATGTCAAGAGAACAGATTCATCTCTCAGCCTGGTAGAAGTTGCTGACATTTACTTTGCTGTCCAGTGGATGTTACTTTTGTAAATGTTCCAAGTGCACCTAAAAAGTTTTTCTGTAGATGCTGGTGGGAGAGTTCCTTTTGACAGTGGTGCCAAGTTTATGAACCTTGTTCAAATCTTCTATATTTATACTGATTAGCTTATTTTTTCTTAGTTTGAGAGTTTGCATCTTCCATCATGTGCTGAAAAAGGCATGTTAAAATCTCTCACTAGCCTGGTGTGATAGTGGATGCCTGTAATCCCAATGGCTCTAGGACGATGGCAAGTTCAAAGCCAGCCTCAGCTATTTACCAAGGACCTGTCTCAAAATAAAAAAAAATAGAAAGGACTGGGGATATGGTTCAGTGGTTAAGTGTTCCTGTGTTCAATCCCTGGTACAAAGAAAAAAAGAAAAAATAAAGAATAATCTCTCACTAAAAAGTATGACTTGGCTGGGTGTGGTAGTACAGGCCTGAAATCCCAGCAACTCAGGATGCTGAGACAGGAGGATCACAAGTTCAAAGCCAGTCTGGACAATTTAAGGAGACCCTCTCTCAAAAAATAAAAGGGCTTAGAATATAGCTCAGTGGTAGAGTACCCAGTAATCCCCCCCCAAAAAAAGATGCTTTTACATGCTTTACAAAACATATATTTATTTATTATAATTATAATTTTAGTGGCTACATAATATGCCATTAAGCAAATATACCATAATTTTTTAATCATCTTCTGTTAAACTTTTAGGTTATTTTTTTCTTTTTGTGGTATTGGAAATTGAAGTTAGGGTCTTGTGCATGCTAGGTAAGTGCTCTATCTACTGTGCTACTCCTTACCACTCCCCCCTGTTACTTTTTTTTTGAGACAGGGTATTACTAAGTTGATTAGGCTGGTCTCAAATTCTTGATCCTCCTGTCTCAGCCTCCTGAGTTGCTGGGATTACAGTGTACGCCAATGCATGCAGGTAATATTTAGTTATTTTCCTAAATGTTTGAAATATAGTCACATGCTACTAATGATGTTCTAGTCAACATCCGACCACCTATTTGATTGTGATCCCATAAGATTATCTTACAGCCTAGGTGTGTAGATGCATACCACCTAGGTTTGTGAATTATGTTCTGTGATGTTAGCACAACCACAAGATCACCTAATGATGTATTTTCAAGAACATATCCCTTTTTTAAGCAACACATAACTTTAATTAGTAATAACTGCAATTAATGTATTTTTGAAGAAATCTTAGTCTGTTTCTCATTTTACCCAAATTATAGACAGAGAAGTGAAATTTCTGAGTCTGAAGGTTTAACATCCTCTAAAGATTTCCAAGAAAGTGTTCCAAATTTTAAAAATTCCAGTGAGCCAAAGCTTACTATATTGGAATGGATGTCCTCTTCAAAGCAGAAGCAGCATGTGAGTCCTTGTGGACAGCCAGTTACCTACAGTGCATACTTGGTTTTGGGCCACCTATTGTAAAATCTGAGAATGCCAAATACTTTCCCAGGCTCTCTTAAAGGGAGGGCATTGGCATGTGACCTAGGATAGACCTTTCAGATTGACCCCAGTCTTTGGTGCAGCAAAGAAGCAGGCAGAAGGGGGAATCCATGTGTAATATGTCTGCAGTGCCAGCAGCTAAGTTCAGCCATTAGATCTAAACTTTGGTGGTGGCCACAATGTCCTTGCCAGAAGGGCTGGGCTTGATTTTGATTCTAACTAATGTCTACTTTTTTTTTCTTTCTTTTTCTCTCTTTCTCCTTCCTTCCCTTTATCTCTCTCTCTCCCTCCTTTCTATTTTTTGGTATTAGAGATTGAACCCAAGATAGCTAGACCACTGAGTTATATTCCAAGCCCTTTCTGTTTTGAGACAGGGTCTCACTCAGTTGCTGAGACTGGCCTCCACTTTTTGATCTTCCTACCTCAGCCTCCTGAGGCTCTAGGATTATAGGTGTGTACTATCATGCCTGGCTAATTTTTCTGATTCTTGCCCATTTACTCAGCCTGGTTGTCCTATCTTTCTGCTCTTCTGTCAAATCCAAACATATTTTAACAAATAACTTTTCTGTGGGACCTAGTTTGTGTTTAATTCTGTTGTTTCCAAGAAAGAATTTGACTAAATTTCCTTCGAGGGATTCTCACCCTGTGCTGCAGCACCTAGTTCATATGGCAGGAAAATTGGCATGCCAAGGGAGAGCTGGGGGAACAGAGAGGGCTTGGCAAGGAATTTGGCAGAACTGGGGCATTGGGAAGGATCCAGTTGAATAAACTGGGACAATATTGGAAGCTGTGGGTAAGAGTGTTTCCTAAGAAGGTGACATGTATAATGTTTGGGCACCAGGTCAGCAGAGTGATTCAAGAGTCCCAGCCCTTATAAGTATGTCACCAGGAACCAAATTCAGGAAGGTGACTAAATGTTAAGGCTCCACCTGGATGGTGAGCCAAGCAGCCTTGGTTGACATTGATGCTGGAGCTGAGAGTATACATGGGATAGAAGAGCAGCGGATGGTAAAGCTGTGGAGACTTGAAGGAGAAGCTGGCAATCATCATGAAAGTCATGGAAACCACTTTCGGAAATGCTTTTTGGCCATTTCTTCAGAACCAATTCCCAGGTAATACAACAGAATGTAGCCTCATTATGTAGGAGGTAAACTTCATTAGTTGGGTGTGTTTATTGTATGCCTATAATCCCAGCAACTCTGGAGGCTGAGGTAGGAGAATTGCAAGTTTGAGTTCAGCCTGAGCAATTTAGTGAGACCTTTTCTCAAAATAAAAAATAAAAAGGGCCAGGGATGTTGCTCAGTGGATAGGTTTCCACTGGGTTCAATTCCCAATACAAAAAGAAAAAAGAAAACCAAGATTGTACCAATGGAGATACTTAAGAGAACACTGGCAAGTCAGAGACAGTCTTTAGAATAACTATTTATTTAGCCTATTTGTGTTCCGCATGTTATACAAAATGCTTCACATCACTGTCTTATTTAAATCTCTCAATAATCCTGACAGGTAGGTATTAGTAACCCCATTTTGTGGATGATGGAACAGGCTGAGGAATTAATTATCAGATTAGATAGCAAATAAATGTCAAGGCAAGAGTTAAAACCTAGATCTGGTTTGCTCCAAAACACAGACTTCTTCTGTAGGCAGTGCTTATGGAGGACCCCAAAATACTTTAAACAGTCTCAGCATTAGTCCCTTCTCCTCTAGAGACTGCTCTCAAGGTGATATCATTCATCTGGCTGTATAAATCTGGATGATAAAAGTGACAAGGACTCTCTTCTTGACCAAACTTGGTTCAGGCTCCTTGAAGCCATGTCTCAAGGAGGCTTTGACCTTGGACTTCAGTGTGGGCCTGCATCACCCAGTTTTAACAAGAATCCTGTTAAGTCAGTTAAGAGAGAATCCCCACCCTCAATATTTGAAAACCCTTGGGTCTGTGATCACATCCCATCCTTTGCCCTTAGTATCAGATCACCTTGGTCGCCTTCAGCCTGAGTGCATGAAGCCCTGAAGCCCCCTCTTGGTAATATTCTACCCATCCACCTTCAAGCCTATCTTTAGTGATAAATCTCCATTTGTCCTTGATCTTTTTGGAATCAAACTGTCGCCACCCCTCGCCGGCAAGGGAAAACACGACACAGGATTCTTCTTTCAGCAGTTTATTCAGGCCTTGATTCAAGTATCATCTTCTAGTGACCCCCCGCCGAGCGCCCAAGCATAGCCTAATAAAGCTTACTTAAGTCCAATCCAAAGCTGCCAAGCGGGGTTTTCTCATAGGGTATTGAGGGACAGCACGCCAACTCTCCCAAATAAGGAGTTGTTTACCAAGATCCACAACGGAGACCGGCGCCATCTTCTAATGACGGCAGCGGTCTACAAACACGGCTCACCACATCAAACCAATTTTATATCAATGTTTCTTTAACCTTACTGCAGTATTTCCTGAATAAAATCTGTTTTTTACTACTCAAACTACTCTCCAGCTCTGGTTTTCTGTAACAGAAATCACTGTTAACATAAATGAAAGCCCTTTTGCGAAACACATCCACAAAGATTCTGCCCAAGTGCTGTGAAATCTTTGATTAAAGTCTTAAGAACAATGAAAAATAATAAACAGTAGATCTGAAAACAATTCAGGTACCAACACTTTCACTTTTATTTTTTGGTACTAGGAATTGAACCCAGGTGTGCTTTACATTGAGCTACACCCCCAGCCCTTTTAGTTATTTTTTAAAAACTTGAGACAGGGTCTTCATAAGTTGCTGAGGGTCTTGGTAAATTGCTAAGGCTGGCCTTGAACTTTGTAATCCTCCTGCTTCAGCCTCTTGAGTTGCTGGGATCACAAGTGGCTTCTCTGGCTTACATATCAGCAAAAGTATTTTCTTTTTTAAAAAATACCTTTATTTTATTTATTTATTTATTTTTTTTGAAGGAATGTATGTTTAATTTTTTTTTAAATTTTTATTGTTGGTTGTTCAAAACATTACATAGTTCTTGACATATCATATTTCACACTTTGATTCAAGTGGGTTATGAACTCCCATTTTTACCCCGTATACAGATTGCAGAATCACATCGGTTACACATCCACTGTTTTATTGCCATACTAGAGTCTGTTTTATATGGTGCTGAACCCAGCGCCTCACACATGCTGGGCAAGTGCTCTACCACTGATCTACAACTGCAGCCTCAACAAAAGTATTTTCTGCCTTATTTTGTATTTCATTTAGAGACAGGGTCTCGCTGAGTTGGTTAGTGCTTCACTGTTGGTGAGGCTGAGGCTTTGAACTCTTGATCCTCCTGCCTCAGCCTCCCTAGCCACTGGGTACACTCCCTGCCTGGCAGTAAAAGTATTTTCAATAATAAGAAGAAATAATAATCCTCAATGGCACTATGAAAAGGTAGCCTAGCTTGTATAACCTTAAATGAAGTTACTCTGTTTGGGCATGGTCCTTCCCCTCAGGGTACAGGAGAGCCAACTCATTTGTGGAGGATTCCTCTGGGCCTTTCTTTCTGTGATTGTTGATTCTCACCATCTAGATTGCATTTGGCTAACAACAGGTCAGTCTTATCACATGGAAAAGGAAGAAGGGGAAATGATAAGTTAATTTACACTTCTTCCACAGTGAGATGGTGAGGGAAGGATGACTGTGTGGAAGATAAGTGTATGTGAAGATTTCAGATTTTTAAAAAAAATAACCGCTAATCCTACACCTCCCAGACCCTTTCCTTGTGGGATTTTTTTTTCTTTCTTTCTTGGCCTGGCCAAGCTGGGGATGCCAGGCAGAGGTTGCTCAGCAGATCAAGTCTTCATCTGTTTTCTCCACCTTCTGTGGGACTCTGTCCCCTTTATCTCCCAGTCACTGACATGGTGGGAGATGTTGATGATGGTGCTGTGACGACTGAATATTTCCTTCAAGAAAAAGCAGTACCAAACAAACAAGCAAAAACTTCGAACTTCCTGACTGTGAACACTTAGGGGGGATTCCAAGGCCATTTTGAACCAGACAGCAACTGACATCTCTGCCACCATGTTGGGTGTGGGACTGGCGGTGGGTGGCAGGAGTGAAGGAAAGGCAGGGGAAGAGCCCAGCCTAGGGATCTTGGGTCGCTATTCCTTCTGCCAGTTGTTTCAGACATCCCAGCTTTCAGCCAGACAATCCCATAATGTCCCTGCACAGCATGCAAAAAACACTTCTTTTGTAAAAATAACTCCTTTGATTTCTCCCAGCCTTGGACCTTGTTTAGTTAGGGGCAATGACCAGGAGGCGAGTCATCTTGGTGGATTGAGGAGGAGACCACCCATGGCTTCCCCAGCTGCACTGCCTGTGGAGCAAAGAGTTCAGAAGCAACGGAGTTTTAAAAATATAATAAGAGAAAAAAAAGAATGAAAGACAGAGGACCTCTTTGAAAATCCTCTCTGTTTCCCACTATCTCCTATAGCAATTGCCCTTTCATTAGTGTGGAAATCCAACAATGTGGAGACTGAGGTTTTTTTTTTTTTTCCTTCTGCTTTCATTTGGCTTTAACCCTTGAGGCTAAACTGATGGTTAGCCACCTATCAAGGTTAGTTAAAGCTGAACTGGGAATCATCTTCTAGTTTATTAATTAGCTAAGGTACATTTTCATGTTCATCCTTTGAAGAGTAAGACAATAGCCGCATAGTGTTTTATTATTCAGAATCGCCTTGATTGCTGTTTCTAGATAGCCAGGTTCAGTTTTTTTAGGAATAAGGAGGAAATTTATTGAGAGGATATTGGATTTTTTTTCTTTTTTAAGGATTTTTAATACATATTTTTAGTTGTAGTTATACACAACACCTTTATTTATTTATTCATTTGTTTGTTTATTTAATGTGGTGCTAAGGATGGAACCCAGTGTCTCACAGGTGCTAAGCAAGTGCTCTACCACTAAGCTACAGCCCCAGCCCTGGAATCTTTTTTAAAACTGGGGATTGAACCCAGGAGTATACTACCACTAAGCTCCATTCTCAGTCTTTACCCTCCCCAACTTGAGAGAGAGAGAGAGAGAGAGGGTCTTGCTAAGTTGTCCAGGCCAGCCTCAAAACTATAGTCTTCTTCCTCAGCCTCCTGAGTCACTAGTGGCACTACCACATTCACATGGGGTATTTTAAGTGATAGAAGGAGAGGTTGAAAGTCAATCTATGTGAAAGACAAGAAGCAGGAATTGTGTGTGTGTGTGTGTGTGTGTGTGTGTGTGTTGGGGATTGAATTTAGGGCCTCATGTATACTAGGCAAACTCTCTACCATGGAGCTACATTTCTGCCCCCCCCCCCCGCCATACATTCAATAAAACAAAATAAAACTGGAATCAGAACTCTACCACCCGAATTCCGCCCCCCTCTCTCTTTGCAGTACTGGGGATTTAACCCAGGGGTGTTCTACTGAGCTACATCTCCAGCCCTTTTTATTTTTTATTTTGAGACAGGGTCTCACTGAGTTGCTCAGAATGGCCTTGAATTTGCAATCCTCCTGTTTTAGCTTCCCAAATCACTGGGATTATAGGCAAGCCCTACCACACCCTGCTGGGATTCCTTCCTTCTATGCCTACATCTTTATTCCTCTTGGCTGTCTGAGTCATTCTCCTTGTGGATCTTGAGATTCACCTACTGTGCATTAAAACATCAAAGAAGGACTGATTTTATTCCTTAATTCCAGATAGATAAATCTCAGGGGAGGATCTCTTTAGTGGGATTGGGGTCATATATAACATGGTGGCTCTCTCCATCTGAAGCACAAGGAGAAGTTCCAAGAAGGGGGTTTCTTTCTTGGAAGGAAGAATGGGTTCTGGTCAAACAAAATAATAGTGCTACATATGTAAAATAGGCTTGCACATGGACCAGAGAAGTGTTGCTTATCAATTTTGGCTATGTTGGCAATCAGGATCCTGACAAAGTTGGACATTTCCAGATATGTGTATATAACAAGAACTGTAGGATTTACTTATTCACTTATAACTGGGCCCACACTCTAAAGATAAAGCCAATATACAGAGTTTGCACTCTCTCTCTCTCTCTCATTATGTATATATAAAGAGAGAGAGAGAGAGAGAGAGAGAGAGAGAGAGAGAGAGAGAGAGAGAGAATTTAACCAAGGAGCACATAAGGACCGAACCACATCCCCAGCTCTTTTTAAATTTTTAAATTTTGAGACATGGTCTTGCTGAGTTGCTTAGGGCCTTGCTGAGTTGCTGAGGTTGGCTTTGAACTTGTGATCCTCCTGCCTCAGCCTCCTGAGCTGCTGGCATTATAGGCATACACCACTGCAACAGGATACCCTCATCTTTTTATAAGCCATAGTATGAGGGATTTTTCTGAGTTCCTCTAGTTTTTCCTCCCTAATAAAGCAGGGGCACTGCAAATTGGTATAGCTAAGGGGTTTTCCATGTTTGTTTGTACTGGGTTCTGTTCTTTATATTCTCCATTGTTTTTCTCTTATTTGGTTGGGTCTGAGGTGAAACATCCCCTTTTTACTTTTGGGCTCTTAATTCTGAGTCTTGCCTCACTAATTTTCCAAAAACACTATGTTCACTTGATTGAGTTTGTTCTGCCCACTCTCAAGGGGTCCTTTCTCCTGCTCAGGTGGCTGCTTCTTCAAGGACTGTGATGGTGGGTAGAATATTTAACACCCCTGAGGTACCTTCTCCCAATTGGTGTCCAAAGAACATGTTCATTTACTCCACTCAGCAGTGTTACCACAAAACCCCTCTCCACCACTCATCCTGTTGGACCCTCCCTGCCTACAAGAGATTACTGTTCATTAATTCATGCCTAACACCAAGTGGCTTACATTTGGTGCTATTGAACGTCTAAGAATAGGCACAGAGCCTGGAAGTAAGAAATGACAACTGCAAAATAGCTGAGTGGGAAAAATGAAGGAACACAGAGCAGGGAAGGCTTTTGATATTTTTTTCCTACAGTCATCTTTTATAGGTAAAATAAGATTAATCTTGATAATAAACTAAGAACAACTAACCATTTTGTACCTTTTACTTCTTGGTCTATTTCAGAATTTGTTTTATTAATTTCAGCAGGATTGCATCTCGATTAGGGCCACCTGTGTAAGACACTGTACTTCACATATTTGCAATCATGTTTGCATTTCTAAAGTTTTGCATTTCAAATCAGGCAACTAGTTTTAGCAAATATGCTTTCATTAACACATGACCATAATCAGGACATAAGACTATATACTAAAACAAATCCCCCAAATAGTCTTTGGGAATAATTTTTTTTTTGTTTTTTCT